TGAGACAGTCAACAGTGAGGCAACATATTAACTGCAAATAATCTTTGATCTTGTTTCTTTCTAAACAGGTTAAATGCTCCAAAAGAAAGGCCTTCTCACTAGAGATACCCCCCTCGACCGCCCCAAGATGGTGAGACCCTTAAACATCTCCTACATTCTGCTGAGACCTGTGTATTTGGTTCTGAGCTCTGAACAAAACATTTTACTTTCCAGGTTCCACTGAGACTGCCTACTGAAAGCCTTTCCCTTGGGCCAAGCACATGTACTTGGAGCCAGTCTGACTATTACGTTCGGTCTCTGCCTTCATTATCTTTACATTTCTGGCCTCTGGGATCTCCTATTGGCTCTTTACTTCAGACCCAACACATACAGCTGTGGTTTGTGAATTGCTTTCTCCCACAAAGACTGTCTCTTGCTCAGACAGAGGGATGACGCCTTGCCCTATTAGAAGAAGGAGAAAGCTGTGGGATCTAGCTTCCTGTTAAGAAGATCTAGAACTTTAGCCAGGACCATAATATCCTGCTAGGAACTGTAAAGGTTAAAGAACAATTGCATCAGACTTGAGCTGCTAGTGCCGGAATCAAATGCCCCAAGCAAGGGCACGCTTTTCTAATACACAGCTGTGTTCTCCGAGAAGTGTCCCAAGCGCCACGGTTCTCTGACAGTTAATGTCGGTTGCATTAAACTGAATTCCACAGAATAAAATGCCCAAGATATAGTTTTCCAAAATACTGTGTACAAAGAGGTAAGTCAGAAGAGGATGCCAAGGATAGACAAATTCAAGACTGGGAGACTTAGGAGAGAAAACTTAACAAAGAGAGTACTTATCCCAGCATGCTCACTGAGCCCAGCACATACCTACAGAAGGTCCCATTCCTGAGAGAACACACGGGCAGGGAGAGGCCCCACTTAAATACACACCTGGGATAAAGGCTTTTTCTCAAGACAGTTTATCCCACCAACAAAAACCATGTTGGGCATGATGGGCCTGGGGTAATCTCTCACAAAGTCATTTCTAATCAGCCAGATAGATGCAGGGCTCAGAAGGTCCTTGACCGTCACCTCTTTCTGTAAGATCTCTGTGGCAAGTGACGCATAGGGAGAATAAACCACATTGCATAGAAAGTTCTCTGACAAAGCAATGAGCACGTTCTTCACTCGCTGCAGGAAGTTCATGTGATCTGAGCTTACAGACAAACTCTTGGGCACGTAGGACAGAGGAATGGGGCACTGGGTAGCTTCCGAATCCAGGCCGCATGGCAATGAATTCAAGAAGTATACAGCAGGCAGAGCCAGGAGCTGGGCCACGATGGAGCCGCAAGGAAGGAAAGGATCTGTTAGCAGAGCGTCAAAGTGGCTTTCTTCCAGAGAGGCCATGAACTCAGCATTGTGCAGTAGGTACGAGCAGCCGGACAGGAACATAGCAGAGTCCCTTTTGACTTTCTTGTATGTTTTGACCAAACGTAGCAGGAAAGGATCTTGCTCAAAGACACTATGTCCAAGTTCCACAAAGGTAGCTGTCAAGTTTTCCTTTTTGAATGGTACAGGGTACTTCTTTAAAGTGTAAAATGATTCTTCTTTGATGTACAGTGAGGCTTCAGGCGCTATGACCACTATCTCATGCCCCTTCTGCTGGAGCTGCCGAGTAACTCCAAGCATGCTGAGCCAGTGGCTGCCATCCACAGGGAACAATAGCAGCTTCCCAGCATGGGACACAGAGGGGCCAAGCATACATATCAGAAGGCCCGGGAGAAGCAGAAGCAAATGTGAGCCCCAGCACACCATAGTCATAGTACCTCTCCTTCTGCTATTGTCAAAGGTCTACTCAGGTCTGCTCATAACTCATGAAGAGAAATCTGTGCAACCAGTTAATTTTTTACTGCGTCCCATGACTAAAGCTGTCAGTCAACTGGCAAAGACCACAGAATGTTTGCTTTTCAAAAGGAAGAGGGTGGAGCTTTACTGGGCTCCTTAATGAGCAACAGCTTTAGCTTTAGCTGTGAGTCTGTCTATCTTGATAGAGCCTGTTGAAATGACTGCATTTCCTTCTTCAACTCATGCCTTTGAATGCATATAGTGAGCAAACCATCTCTGGCCAATTTGGATTCATTAAATTAGCATTTCTGTATGTCAGAAAGGGTTACCATGAAGTGTCATAGCATGCCGCCTTCCCAAGGATAAAAAGTTACTCAGAAAGTCTTTTGGAAAGAATGGAACTGAAAAGTGCTGCAACTCCACTTCTGTCCATGAAGGCCCTAAGAATGTGCACCATCATTCACTTGAGGTGCCTCTTAACCACTTCTATCACTTTTTAAAGTGTGTGTGTGTGTGTGTGTGTGTGTGTGTGTGTGTGTGTGTGTGTGTGTCTGTGGCTGTCTGTGTGTGGTATGTAGTCCAAGGGGTAACCTTGGGTGTTATCTCCCAGAGGCCATACATTTTGTGTTGAAGTAGGCTCTTTCATTGGAGTAGACCCTATCAATTAAGCTAAACTGGGAGGCTACTGAACCAAGGAATTTTCATTCTCTAGCTCCTCGACATTGGGATTATAAGCATGCCCCATCGTGTCCAGAATTTTCATGTGGCTCCTAGGCCTTGAACTCAGGTCCTTACGCTTACAGAACACTTTACTGAGTTATCTTCATGGCCTCTATCACTGTTTTTACTTCATACTTAATAAATCTAGTAGAGTGCTAGGTCTAGGGACTGCAGCTAAGACCAGCACAGAGGAGTGTCCTGCCTTTCCAGGGCTCAGGCTCTATCAAGACAGATAGACCCACAGCTAAAGCTAATAAATGAGGCCCATTGAGAGTGCAAATGAATGGAACCAGGCTGGGGTAGAGAATGACAAGGAAAAGTCACATGAGTCCAGGTGCAGAAGTCCTCTCCAAGAGCAGAACCACACTCCCTCAGAGAAACAGTGAGAAAACATATTCCAAACAGAAAATCAAAATAGATAAGCTGGTTAGACAAGTACAATTGTGCTCATCACACTAGCCCAAGGCCCTGGGGGAATTCTGATGATTGACTTGAAGGTAACAAAGTCAGGTGTGTACTATGTGTCAGGTGTTGTCAAGCTAAGCATTCTGCAACACATCTTATCCCATAGAGCTGGCCCATCAAAGGAGAAGGTTATTTCCCTCAGTTTGCAAACACACTGAGGCTGACAGAGCTAAGACACAGGCCTTAGTTAGAAGTTGAATGGAAAACTGTGTTCCTCAGGTCATGAATGGAAAAAGGGCAAGAGAGAGGACTTTGAGCCCAAAGAGGTGTTCAAACAGCACTATCTTAGGCCCTTGGAGACCAAGGGAAGAGCTGTTGTACAGAAATGCCTCCTGAAGTGGGTGACCAGAGTGTGGGCAGAACCCAGTCTTGTGCTCATTCTGGGGATCCACTGATGTCCTATACAGTCCCAGGAAGAAAGCACAGATCCTAGTATTGACCACAGTGCTGGTCCTGCCTGCATGGAGCTGTGCTGGGAACAACAAAGAGAAACAAAGTAACTTTAAAACTTCGGTGTTCTAGGGAGTGCAGGTGACAGGACCCCTCTCATTCAGGTGCTTAAAGTCCCTTTTCCTGGACCTTCACCTTCCTCAGCAGAATCCTGGTTTTGCTTGTGTTTTTGCAGGGACTCTCTCTCTCTCTCTCTCTCTCTCTCTCTCTCTCTCTCTCTCTCTCTCTCTCTCAAATCCTTCCCCACACTCAATTACTCCATTACATTTAATTCTCAGTAAGCAGAAATGATGCCTTTGCTTTTGCTGTGCATTTAACTGAAATTCCAAAGCTCACAATCCGAGTTAAACTTTAGGATCAGTAACCCTTGGAAGCTCCATTTCGTGAGAACTCACCTGCAGCTTATATGGAGCAAAGAGCCCGTAAATATGACAATGCTTTTATGAGACACTGTTCCTGTCATTACTCAGAACCATGAGCTCTTTCATTTAAATGGTGCCAGAGATTGAACCCAGGGCCACATGCAAAGCACACAGTGCTGCTTCAGAGCTTCCTGAGCCACTGTGGACCTGAATGGTGAGGGCCCCAACCCCTACCCTTGGCCGAGGAACACTGTTCACTGATCTAAGGCAATCTACATTTCTTATGACCCACAAGGAGAATCATTTCAAAGCAATCCAATAATAGGTCTGCCCTGGAACATGAACAGACCAAACATATTTCAAACGCAAAGCTAATTCCTTCCTTCATCAACATGCATGAAACATATGAATCTGACTGTGCTGGGTGCTATGCTAGGTGCCAGAGCCAAAACTCAAATGACCAATGGCCTCAGAGCCATAGAAATGAAAACGAAGGGTCCTGAAGCCAAACTGTTTGAGGACCTCAGGCCTTCACAAACCACTGTCCTTCAGAGTCAGACAAAATCCACCCCTGTCAACTTCCCTATCCTCTTACCTGGCTGAAGGAAAGCTGACTTGGGGCAGGGCACAGAAACCCATTTTAAAGAGCCAACTTTGTGAAGCACACTTGCAAACCCACAGCGCAGGATGTGGATGCAGCAGGGCATCACCGGAAGTTCAAGACTAGCTTGATCTACACAGCTGAGAAGAGAAGGGAGAGCAGCAGCAGCAGAAGAAAGGGAGATGAAGAAAAAGGAGCGGTAGGGAGGAGGAAGAGGAGAATAGGGGTAAAATAGGGGTAAGAGGACGAGGAGGGGGAAATGGGAGGAGAGAGAGAAGGGAAAGGGGGGAGAGGAGAAGTGGAGGAGGAGGGAGAGGAGAAGGAGGAAAAAGTGCAGTAGTACTTTTCTATGGCAGCCAGAACCACAGCCTCTCCCCTAAGTTGTCCTTTGTCCTTGACAGGAGACCAACAAAACCAACCAGGAGGACACAGGCCGCGGGACTCAGCCCCATCCCTAACCCTAACCTTCCCTGGGCCTTGTTGGGAGCGGAACCAACCCCTGGAGCCCTCCATCCTGATAGGCTGAAGCGCCGCCCGCCTCCACCAATGAGAGGCGCCCACGTCACAAGGGCGCGCGCGGGCGGCGCCGGCGGGTGAGCGGGCGTTCAGCAGCCACCAGCCGCGCTGAAGCGCCTAGGCCGCGGGCCGGCCAGCCGCCATGGTGGACTACTACGAGGTGCTGGGCGTGCCGCGGCAGGCCTCGGCCGAGGCCATCCGCAAGGCGTACCGTAAGCTAGCGCTCAAGTGGCACCCGGACAAGAACCCTGAGCACAAGGAGGAGGCCGAGAGGCGGTTCAAGCAGGTGGCGCAGGCCTACGAGGTCCTCTCGGACGCCCGCAAGCGAGAGGTGTACGACCGCTGCGGCGAGGTGGGCGAGGTGGGCGGCGGCGGCGCGGCCGGCAGCCCGTTCCAGGACGCCTTCCAGTACGTCTTCTCCTTCCGAGACCCCGCCGAGGTCTTCAGGGAGTTCTTCGGGGGCCGCGACCCCTTCTCGTTCGACTTCTTCGGAGACCCGTTTGAGAACTTCTTTGGGGAACGGAGGAGCACCCGAGGAAGCCGAAGCCGAGGGGCCGTACCCTTCTCCTCCTCCTTCACCCACTTCCCGGCCTTCGGGGGTGGCTTTGCTTCCTTAGATACCGGATTCACATCCTTCGGTTCTCCGGGCAACTCGGGAGTTTCTTCTTTCTCCATGTCCTGTGGCGGGGGCGCGGCAGGCAACTTCAAGTCGGTGTCAACCTCCACCGAAATAGTTAATGGCAAAAAAATCACCACCAAGAGAATCGTTGAGAATGGCCAAGAAAGAGTGGAAGTGGAAGAAGACGGAGAGTTAAAATCCCTGATAATTAACGGCAAAGAGCAGTTGCTTCGCATCGATACTGAGTAAAGGCATAAAGTGTGTTTTAAGGACTATCAGGACTTTTTTGTTTAAAAGCGTTTTCAAGGGAACTCTACTTTCAGAACAACTGTATTCAAGACATTATATACAGTTCGTGCCGGTGCCTCTTCTTGTTGGGACTGCAGGGATAGGATCTCTCTTGGTCTTTATGCCTGTTGTAAATATCTGTATGCCTTTGGCACTCATTAAACTTAATCCTGAGGCAGACCACCATTCTGTCCTAGTGGTAGGAAACACTGTTCACAGCACCTAAAACCGCACAATGTCCATTTTGTTGATAATTCGACCTAGAGAGCTTTCTGTGAAGTGTAGCCATATAGCTCCACTTCCCCACACTCACACTGTGCTGAGAGATAGGCATATACTAATTATTTAGTTTAAAGTAAATTGGAAAAAGTAGCTTTTCACTTACCTAAAATGATGGTAATATAGGAACAATTGACTACTGTTTAAAACGAAAGGTTAAAACTAAGCTTTTGAAAGCAGTTAAATTGAAAAAGTACACTAGGTAGATTCTGGTCCCTGCTGCAATGAATTAGCACGAACTTGGTAATGTCTATCACATTTATTCTTCCCAAGTTTTGTAGGCTAGGAATCTGAAATCCATTTCAATGGGCAAAAAGGGTTGCCAGGACCATGGTCTCTGAATGTTTAGGGCTGCATTTATCAGTCAAAGTCTCAGAACTGGTTAGTGCTCAGCCCTAAATTTGTTCTACAACAGTGGAAAATTCTGGAAGTGAATAGAAGTACCTTTTGATGGCTAAACAAGGTTCTTGATTGCCATATGTAATTAATATATATATATATGTAACTATGTATGTAACAATAGAGTCCATTCTTTTAGCTCAGTTGGGTGCTTCCTATTCAAACCTTGCAGAAGATGGCTGCCTTTAGAGAGTATACCACACAATGTTCTACCTCACTCCAATGTCATCAGTGAAGACTCATAAGACGTGGAAGCAAAAGGGATCTGAATAGGTTTAAATTGCCACACTTTGTAAATCTCTGCCAAGAGGTCATGGGACCTAAGCACATGATTATAAACTAAGACTACATGAAAATATGCTGGATACCCATAGTACCCCTAGTGTAACCTCATGCTGGGACATACATGTACAATACACAGCAGAAACATGAGATTCAGCACTGTTCCCCAGGGCGCACAGAGCCTTTAGAAATCACAGCTGCTTTCTAACAATAACAATTGCCCAAATCAGACCAACTACCAGACTTTGAAACAAATGTTTTCTTTAGCCTAGGGAGCTAATGAAGACAGTGACTGAGGGCTGGGAAGATGGCCCAGGGGTTTCGGTGCTTACTAGGTAAGCATCCCCAGAAACCCACATAAGGTCTGGTGTATGTGATAGTCCTCAGAAAGCAGAGGCATGGGATCCCCAGAGCAAGCTGGCTAGCAAGATGAGCCATATTGGCAAGCTCTGGATTTTTTTTTTTTGAGAGACCCTGGATACAGTGGACAAGTAATGGAGGCTGATTCCTGACATCTGCCTTGGACCTACACACACACACACACACACACACACACACACACACACACACACACACGCGCGCGCGCGCGCGCGCGCGCGCGCGCGCAAAATATGCAGGCATGTGCAGACCACATAAAAACAGGAGGGAAAGACACTGAGTAGAATGTTAGTGTGGGTTTGTATCTGAACTGGTAGGAAGTATTAAGGATTTGGGGATAACAAAATGTACAGTTCTGTGATGGTTAAATGTGGAAATCAGTACCCAGGGTAGAATGGAATGAGTGAGTCTGAAACCACACAGTGGAAAAAAGACCATGGTAGGCATAGAGCCTGGCGTAGCAAGTCACTCAGAGGTCATAGATCTTCAGCTCTGGCTAGTTTTAATAGTTGAGAGCAAAAAGAAGAATCAGCATTCATATATCCTAGATTAATGGAGCTGTAAATGGAAAGTTCCTGGCTGGACTGGAACTCATGTAGGCCAGGATGGTCTTGAATTCACAGAAATCTACTCTGCTTCCCAAGTGTAAGAATTCACAGCATGTGCCACCAGACCCAACTATAAAAAAACATTTTAATGAATTGTCAAGCTTGAAAATCTTTTCAAAAATTGTTCAGTCTCAAAAGACTTCTGCAGACATCCCTGTGGAAGGTCCTCTTTTAGGGAAGGCTTGTCATAGTGGTCAAAAGGCATTTCCTGTGCAAAGGGGAGCCTCTTGAATCCACCAGTGGACTTATAAGAGCACTTCCTGCACAAGCCTGGCAACTTGACTTTGATCCTTGGGACCTATGGTGGGAGGAGAGAACCAGCAACCGGAAGTTGAAATTGTTCTTGACCTCCACATGAGCACCTTGACACACATGCACTTCTCACCTAATATTTTTAAAGCATTCCAATCCACTACAGGGGATCCATTCATGGAACTACTGGGAGAATTTTCCAGAATGCACCAGGCAAGGAAGAGAAATACACTGTAAGGCCCAGATGACTAGGAGGCCCTGTTCTACCTAAAACAGGATCAAGAATTCAAAAAGCCAGTCACAGTGGCTGGAGTTCACACACAGCTCTTTTTTGGGTTTGGCTTTGGAACATGGCTGAAAGCATTTGGAAGAAATTATACTGCCTTTAAATAACCACCTTCCCTTTGATTTTATGCTGCAGCCTCCAAACTGGAAGAAAGGTACCTTCTCCATTTTATTAGCTTATGTTTCCAGAATTTCCTGTTCCCCATGTTCATCAGTTCTTCCTCCTCTTTCCCCTACTCACTCTCATCTTCCTCATTCCTTCTTTCTCCTAACCCCTCTTCTCTCTCTCCTCCCTTCCTCCTCTTCTTTCCCTCCTCCCCTCTCCGGCTCTTACTGTGTATCCCAGTTCAGGCTCTCATTATGTAGCCAAGGATGGACTTGGACTCATAACCCTGTCTCAGCTTCCGAAGTGCTAGGATTACAGACCTGACCCAGCACACAGGTTTTCTCATTAAATACAGATTCATTTAACTTCCTTAAATCTTCATTAAACCATTTAGTATAGTTTCAGTTACTGTCTGACAAGCTGACTGGACTGGGAAGTAGCCAGTAGCCTCAGGACTAAACGTACAACTTACTCTCCACCTCTACCCTATGATAAAGTAAAAAGTTTTGTTATGATAGACTTCTCTAGACTATTTTTCTTTTAGTTTTCTAAAATTTCAAAATAGACAATTTAGTTTTATCATGGAAGATCTACAGTCATACAGAGGCTGCTCAGTTACACATAGACTACAAGCATTTGATTTGTGGCTGGCCCAATTGATCCCATAAAGTATTCATTAGCTTGCTTCCGGGTCTGTTGAATGCTCAAGCGTCCTGTGAACACACACCCATTTCATCCCTGAGAGCAATATTAAAAACTACCACACCAACAACTGACATTCACTGATTCCTTTAACCGCCAAAAAAAAAAAAAAAAAAAATCTGAAAGCAACACACCCTCTGATGGGTCAGGCCACAGCTCAATTTCTCAGTTCCTGTGCAGAATCAGGATACTCACCAGTAGAAAAAGTGTCTGGATGAGCAGTCCCAACAGAGTACCACTACAGCCCTTCAGTCCTGACAGTGGCCTCTGAAAACCTGAAGCATAGCACCTTGAGCACCTTAATAGATGAATTTTACCAAAGCCTCTTAGAAAAAGAGATATAGATAACTTTGGAGAGATGAATAAATAAGCACTTGAAAGTAAAAAAAAATATATTTTTCCTGGAAAATTATTGCGATAAAGGCAGAATACAGACCTGATGGAGTGGCTTCCTGTTGGCACAGTTTATACCCCCAATGAAGACCATGTTAGGCATGATGGGCCTGGGGTAGTCTAACACAAAGTCCCCTCGGAACAGCCACACTGATGCATGGCTGAGAACCTCCACCAAGGACACCTCTCTCTGCAAAAGCTCAGAGGCAAGACGTTCATAGGGAGAGAATGAGATATGGCAAATGTACTTCAAGGTCAGAGGGTACAGCATGTTCTTGACTCTTTGCAGGAAGCTCATGTGGTCAGAAAGTGTTGTGAGTAGCCTTGGAACATATGAAGAAGGGTTTGGACACTGTGTGGCCTCATAGTCTATGCCACAGGGAATGGAGCGCAGAAAAAACACAGCAGGAATCTGTAGGTACTTGGCAAGCACTGCCCCACAGGGAAAAATGGGGTCCGTTAAGATCACATCGAAGGAACTGGAATTCAGTTGCTGGATCAGAGTCTTATTGTACAGTAGTGCTACACAAGAATTTGTATAGAGTTCTGAAAAATTTCTTAGAGCTTCCATACTTTCAAAAAACAACTTCACAGTATCTTGTGTTTCAAAGGCCTTCTTTATATTTCCCAGTACTTTTTCCTGATATTCTTCATTGGTGTACGGAAAGGCATAGGTTTTGAAGGTGAAGAAGTCCTCTCCTTTGATGTGAAGAGTCACATCCGGAGCCAGGACCACAATCTGGTGGCCTTGGGCATGGAGCTCCTTGGTGACATCCCTCATGCTCAGCCAGTGACTGCCCTCCATGGGAATCACCAGCACCTTCCCACCTTCAGCCCAGGGCAGGGCACAGAGCAGGAGCAGCAGCCCTGAGAGTCCTGTGTCCATCTCCCCAGAGGCCCACAACAGTGGACTGTCCACACCCTGTGCCTCCTTTGTAATTTATTCCTTTTCTTATCACCAGGCCACCTGTCACTCTGCATACCATTGGGTAGGACAGTGCCCTTAAGTCAATCATTACAAAGTAAATCACCCCTGCCTTTCACTAATGCCCTACCCTTCTGCCTGCCTCCACCCACAGAAACTTAAGCTTTGCTTTTCTTGCCTAATTAAAAACTCCTGTGACATGCTTCTCTTTTCCTAGGGCATACTAGTTCACCTCTTGTTTTCCTCCAGTTCCCCATGGGAGGACACCCATTTCTTTCACCACCTAAACTGTCAACAAGTGGCCATTGAGCTCCGAGCAGTGCCCTCGTCTCCCAAAACCTTTCTGTGGGTAAGACCTAATTCAGTAGCTCGTTAAAGTCTCTCCTCCAATTCACAAGTGGCAATCAATGTATCACAGCATACAGAACAGTGCAAAGCAAGCTTGACCAAACCAAAGACGATATCCCTTTGCCATGGCTCATATTCTTCATGGTGCCAGGACTCTAAGGTTCAGGAAACACAATTTGAAGTAGCTGACTGCTAACAAAGACGGAAATGCTGGAAAGATCTC